AAAAGCCAGTGGAAAATTCCATACGAATTGCACACAAGTAAATGAAATTTACTTTGACCCGCTTTACCTACTTTTGGGTTCCTGCACTATAGTGCCGAGATGAGTGAAAAGAACTTAATTTTGGGTACTTTTTTCTAACCGTGTAGTTTACGGCAGTTTTAAAACCAGGAACGTAAATATGATTGTCGTTTTCATTAGATATGGGGGATCCGTTGACCCAAATGATACACGTTTTCATCTGCGTATGATTGATTGGATTAGGTACTTCGTTAAGGCTCGTATACATAGGCAAGGGTGTAAGTGCTTATTTTGCATAAAAAATGTATGTCGTAGTTATGCAATCCAGTGTTGCGAAAATCTGAAAACTGAAATATCATAATGCGAATGCATTGCTCTATGTGTGGCATTATTAATTATTCATCGTGGTAATTATTATTTGAATACCTCATAGTACTAGTAATTCAAGACCTAAACTTGAAATGGCCTTAACTCCATTTTGTAAACAAATCTTGTAAGGTCATTTTCTCGCGAACCGAAACCTTAATTCACAAACCTTAACCACAATCGGGTAGAGGATAATTTCTCCTACCTGTTCATTATGTTGGTTTGCCTTTGCGGACTTCGGTTCGCGAGAAAATGGCCTTACAAGGTTTGTTTACAAAATGGAGTTAAGGTTCATTTCAATTGTTGGTCTTGAATTGACATTTGAGCGGTTTAATGAGTTTTAAGCTGGGATAATTTGTTGGTATTGTTAGTGTGAGTGCGTGAAAATGTATGAGAATCTCAACCGTGAGATTTGTTTGCAGATTCGCAAGTAATTTGATTCTCTCAGGAGAGCTCTTTAAATGAAATTTGAGAATGATTTTCCGAGCTCTGAAGCAATCATTATAGGTTATAATTGCTTATTTTGAATCTATTGTATGTGTATTAGATCTGTTCATTTTAACAAAAATGTTCGGGATGCACCGGGTCAACCGTGATTACTGTTCGTGATGTTAATTTGAACTTCTGTGCAAATTTTCAGCAAAATCGGTGATTCCCTTCAAGTTAATTTTATGTTTTAAGGTAATTTACGGCTTATAATATTTGTATCTCGAGACTGAAACAACGAAAACTGCTGTAACCACTTTCATAGCAAAGCTTAATGTGTTATCTACGAACTTTATCACCAAAGATTGACTATTAAAAGAGATTTATTGAAGTTTGACTTAGTTTCATGCTCGAAGATATCTTAAAAAGTGAAGAATTTTAAAGTATTTGTTGTACGAATTTTCCACCCATATGATATAAAAATGTGTTGTCTACGGCATAATTTTCCTTATACTGTTCTATACATTTCGTTCAAACATAGTTTTTGTGTAGATTCCATAGATTGAGAGATAAAAATCAGAAAAGAGGCCGTTATAGCTAAAATTCACAAGACAACAGAGTCAATAAAAATTTCAATTAGAATGACAGAACATATCCAAAATGTTCGTTATTTTATAAATTGCTGTTATGGCTCGAGTGACACTTGCCTTTGATAAGAAATGAACTAGCCTATGGCTAAAAATCTCTTAAACAAAGATTAAAAAAAAATTGCCTTTTATAAAAAAAAAAACACGTCTACTGAGGATTCATATTTCTAAAAATATCATCTATCAATAAAACAGTCATCGGTCGTCATTGAAAAGCAATGCAATTATGTTCTGTCAATCTTATTGAAACTTTTATTGTTTCTGTTGTCTTGTGAATTTTAACTATAACGGCCTCTTTTCTGATTTTTATCTCTCAATCTATGTAGTCCAATCCAGCACACGATTTTACATGGGAAATTACCACCAGCGTACAAAGTTCAAATATGCTGTAGTGATATTGTTCGTTTTTGCAAAATATGGATGCAGTTATTTGGTATGCATTACTTTACACAACGAAAAATGTGTAATGTGTAATTATTAATGAAACACCTTGTTTGGCGGCTGTCAGGTGATTATCGCATTCACGTTTTTGAAAAGAAAAGACTAAAATTGTACACAACATGCTCGAAAAGAAGCGATAACATTATATTCAAACGCATTGTTTAGAAAGGACTAACTTGTCCCGGACCGTGCAATATATCGTGATTTCTGGGATTCATGTACTATTAATGCAAACTATCTAAAACTTGTATTGTTTTTCCGCTATGATTTATAATTCTTTAAGCTTTTAAATGGAAGCTATTTCATTTTGCACACATTTGCGCAAGATATTGCTTTTTTAGAAAAACTTTGAGAAGGTTGTTAACTTAACATTGAGACAGCCTAGAACAGTGAACAACCATAGTAGGCAGTTGCTGCAAGTATTTTTTTGTTCACGTGTACCGTTCGAATAACTCGTTTGTCGATTGTAACGAAAAAAAAAAACAGGACATAGCTCACATCGAGAAATAAAGAACACAACGCAGAAAATTATCGTCAAGTTCATAGGATCGTCATTAACGGACTACCAGAATTGAAATGGTTTTGGACGAATTTTCTCAACATATTCAACCAATCATGCTGGAAACGAAATCGGATTGAAGCAAAGTATCACGAGTAGCTAGAGGGTTCAAGGTGCCTTCAATACACACCAGTCTGAATCAATACAATATGAAAAAAAAATGGAGGGCGACCTGAAAAACGTTTCGAAGAATGTGCCGAACGATCGAAGCTTCGCAAAACAGAGGCTTTTCGTGAGGAATATACATCAGAAGAGTTTATGTATTCAGCTCAAATTAACGCACGTTTAAATTATAAAGCACGCGTGGAGGGTAAATCTGACGACGCTGGAGTCATTAAATAAACAATTCAACCAAACAGTAATACATCACAGATTTCACTACCAGTTATGTTGAATGTGAAATTATCGAAGTCATCATGAAGCTGAAAGGGATCTCGCTGAGGATAGGTTCGTTGAAAAAGCTTAGTTAACAATTTATTAAACTATTCACATTTAAATTAAAAATATTTATACACAAATATATTTCATATTAGAAATTTCTAGAACCTAACAAAAACGATGCTGTCCTCCTTATATTATGTGCAATGTCGGTAAACGAGACTGACATTATGATAGATTTGTAAACGATGCTGATAAATATATGATTATAGTTATACGGCAAACAAAATTAACCACGTAATTTTATATACTTAAAAACTACGGATATCAGATAATCAAATAAGATGTATTTACTTCAATCAGAATCTAAAGATCGCCAATGTAATAATAGGTTCATTGTTTGACCACATTCTGTTTTTTTTTTCATAGTGATTTAGCTGCATCTATGGGAGTACCCGTTCCGGGACCGTGTCCGGATGGTGAAACACTGAACGAAAGAAGCCATTTGTGGCCCATTAGGTGCACTTTTGGATTTTCCAACATTCCTAGACCAGACCGGGAATCGAACCTAGCCGCTTCCAGCATGGTCTTGTTTTATAGCAGTGCATTTACCGACTGAGACCCCTACACATAAGTCTAAATTTCGAGCATTTTTGGAATATTCCAAAATAATATGTAGGAAATTTGTCCATTATTGCACACTTCACATTGTTTATTGTACAGCCATCGATCAATCATTGATTGCTTAAACATATATTTTTGATATTGAGTACCAATTTTTTTTCCTTGATTTGTTTTCCGTGTGACCCCAGGGAGACAGCTCCCACACCTGGACCCTACCTAACTACCCATCAACTCATGAACTGGGGACCAACCGGGGATTAAAGATGTTACGCCTCAGAACATCCTGGCGACACCGACTGGGATTGAACCCAGGCTTGCTGGGTTGAGAGATAATCACGCTTACCACTACACCACCGGCGCCGCAGATATTCAGTACTAGAAATGTTGTCGTTATGCATGTTTTAAATATTATTGGCATTGTATCAGGCGATTTCTTATTTTTTCAGGTAAGAATCGTGAGTTGTTAAAAACTAGCTTTAAATTCAATTAAGCTAAATAATCTATTGCAAAACGTCTATTTTCCATGTAAAATTTACATGTAATGTTCAATAGTTGGATCATATTCGGACTCATTGCCCTGAATTATTGCACACTACCAAAAAGTCATGTAAATTTCCGTGCCCTGAGACCGACACATGCAAGCGGCCCAAATGACATAAGAATCAGTTGAAAGAAACAAGAAAATAAATTCAATCAATCGTACTTTTCGTCGAGTTGCGTATGTTTCGGTTTGGGAACACTTAACACTTACGTCAAAGATGAATTACGTCTCGTGTTAAAATAGTTATTTTTAATTGTGTGTATATGGGCATTATACCTAACTGATAGTGTAAGAACAATAAACCAAAATGTTGCGTTCAATCATCCTAACAGAATTACTGAAAAATTCAAGCTGAAAAGTACATTCTAAGATGCATTTGGCTATAATTTATGGGTGTGCAATAATTAGATACAAAGTGTACAATAATTGAATTTCAAAGAAAAATGAGTCGTGCAACAATTGGGTTCTGAGACACATTCGCAAGATTCCTTATAAGGAATGGAATTAATAGTTGTGGAATCGTTTCTTGAATCGCATTTAAAGGGTTCTGGGGAAATCAATTCTTCAAAAACGTTTAGCTAAATAACAAAAAAACGCGTGCTAAGCTGTCCAACTTAATGTGAATATTTTGAAATATAATGAATAGATATGTATGGATTAGTCACTAGTGCATACGAAAAATATAAATTGGGAAAATAGGCGGTTAACCGAAGCTATGCGCTGCAAGCAATTATAGCACTAACAGCAATTCTTACTAAATATAAGGTTTAATTTCCTTTCTATACGTATATATCTCCCATGTCAAAGTTATGTATAACTTTAAAAGTTCACATGTTCAGCACTAATGTGACTAACAGTAAATGAGAATGTTTATGATGAAGAAGATTCGGATCTTTTACCAATGAGTCATTGTATTGTTATTCGTATTCTATTCACAAATATTCGGATGATTTGTTTAGTATTTTCTTACGATATTCAATAATTAATCAGAACAATAAAATACAATTATTTACATTTATTTATCGATTATTGTAAACGCTTCACGTATTGAAAGCGCAGAAATCGTATTGTTAAGATTTCGATTTTCGGAAGAACAATCTGCTTTGTACATCATACAGATATTTCCTGTATTTGAACACGTTTTTTGGTAGTTCCATGAATGATGGAACCTGTTTGCTGTCGTAGAATGCCTCCTTGAAATCCCACGGAACGGCTAGTATGTGTTGTTTCCAGCATCATGGAGTTAAATTCTAGATCAACCTCGTTCACGGTAGTACCTATTTCTTGTGTTTCTGGTAGACATGTTTGTTCGGATTGCGTACACTGGCTGCCTGTAGTGGTTGTGGCATTTTGTCGCATCTGTTGGCACGTACTGACTGTATTGGATGATGAGTCTGACATTGATGAAGGTTGCGACGAATAAGCTTGAGGTACAGATGTGAGATTTTCACGCGATAAATTCTTGTAGGTTTCTGGTGTTATAGATCTTCGCATGCTGCCAGTAGTTGATCCTCTTGGTGACGCATAGGGATACTCTTTAAGGGATAGTTCTGAACTACAAACATCTACGATGATGCATTTTTTTTTCGTTCCAGTATGATCATTGCACATGTATTCGTTGAACGATGCTTCGCCAGATACGCTCTGCAAATTTGGGTTGAACTTAGCCCTAACCGTGTCAGTCTCAATATCCCTGAGGATCTTTTGTTGTTCGAATCTGTCGTCCAAAGATGATAGTGTAACATGTGTTGCCTCCTCTGCCGCATTGATTTCCTTTTGCTTGTTAAGGTTTGCATGTTTTTCTCTCTGGTAGTATATAGCAGTGAAAATAATGACATTCAGTAGCAGCAGAAAGCATCCCACTCCGATGGTGATATTAAATGCTGTAGAGTAGTTCTGATACTGTGAATCAGACATTTGATTGATGATATCTTTGCTACTTTCTGCTGTGTTCATCTGGTTTCGCTGCGGATACGTTGCAGCGACTGGTGGCATTATGGTCATGTTTGGTGGGCATTCTAGATTCAACGTAGATTGTAAAGCAGAAAATAAAGTGTATGCATTATCTATGACTGTTAAATATAGTATGACGACGAAAAATAAATTATGTATGATGGAAGGGGTATAATGAGCACACAGCAATATAGACATTTTTTGGTGACTATACTTCAATAGAATCATGTTAAGTGTGAAATTAATTGATTTGAACCATAAAACATGCAGTTTCGATACGAGCTACGGGGTGAGTTGATTTGGATTTTTGGATTTTGCGTTACTCCGGATTTTTTTTAACAGTAAAGTGATATTGGTGACGAACGAATACTTGAATTTCCTGAATCGAGTTCCACAGTGTGTGGATTGTGTTGGACGGCCAAGAGGTGTTTCAAGACTACATTCGGGACATTCCGTGCAAGCTCTACCACAAACCGGATTATAACTATAACATAACTATAAAGACGGGTAGAGATGGTATTTTTTTAATATTATTTCATGTCGGGCAATCAATACCGCTACATTCATAAAAAAATTACACTGGTTGCAATTGCTCTTGTTATAGCAACTCTTTCCACCTCTGGACTATCTGAAACAACTGCTGCAGGAATCGCAAGATGGATCTTGCAACAAATTTTCACCATGTATTATGTGCATCCCTCATGTCATAAATTCAATATTTCCCACGACGCTTCTAGCAGACCACTTTTGCTGCGTCAAGCTGTGAAGAGTCAATTTCCAGTAAACTGCAACGGCCATCGAACTACTGCATCAGCATGAGGCAATAGTTTGATGAGCGTTAAGCATTCCTTAAAGTGTCACATTTCGATCTGGTTGTTGTTAAGCCACCAACGGCGCAACATGCTATCGTCATTCTCTCTTTTCGTTAATTGCCTTTTCCTATTCTCTCCTATTCTCTCCTTGATCGCTGATTGGTGATCGAGTACATGGTGACTCCAGGAACCTGCAGTAGGAAATTATTGTAATGCAATAATTTGAATAAACGATGAGTCTTGATTGAACACTCAACTGGACTAGCAGTTGTCATTACTGAAAGAAAGTCACATGAAAAATTGTTGTTACAAATCGCTCACTTCGCTCCGTCTAGAACAATTATACTTAACTCATTGTATTTACATTATAAAATACTGTTTGTCACAGGTTTATTGATCAGATGTTATAAAAATAACTAATTATTGTCTGCAAGAAATTAAATACCAAAAAAAAAAAAAACATTACCACAAATCGCTGCTACTAAATAGTAGTAGCACAGACAAACAGACATAACACACTGAATATTTCTCATTGTAAAACATCGTCGCTAAAACATTACCGCCATCTGTTGAGTACACTGTGGTGGGTAGTACGCTGAACAGATGGCGGTAGTGTGTAAACGTCAAACGCAAGGGAATTGACTATGCGCGCCAAGGGTGGCAGTACTACCAACTGAGAAACTTTTAAATTAACCGTTAAATGCTTGATCGATTAACAACTTGTGAGAGTTATGTCTGTTTGTCTGTGGTAGTAGTGAAATATTATAATATGATGTAGTCAGACATACAGCGGAAACAATTAAAGTTTATAGGTTGTTTTCAAGAATTCTCATATTTTGAAACTACGGGTAACTTTGATAATATAATATAAAGAATAAATTTACTCGCTGTGCTTTTTCCAAATTAGAAACATTGGTTCCATATTGTAGCTAAGGGTATCCGTTGATATCGTATATAGTTTTTATATAATTTGTGTTATATATTTTACAAACATATTAAAAAACAATTTTCGTGTTTTTCGCTTTTTTGAAATAGCACTCAACCTTCACTTATGAAATGTTATTCCGATACAGCCATCACAAATTCAATGTTGTATTCATATTGCTTATGACGTTTCCTGATTATATACTCATTCAAAGTTTCATATTTAAAGAACTAAATTGTTTGAGTTTCACTCATTTTTTTCTACATTCATCGAGCATTATCAAAGTAACCCTAAATCAAAATACTGAAGTTCGGTCACAAAACTAAAAACATAGTGCAAATGCTTTAATTTTCGTTCAACATATTACTAACGAACTAACTCTTGGATCCTCAGTACTTGTTTTAAAAATATAAAATTTGAAAAACATTCATTGCTGTGGAAAAATATTTAGAATATACTTTAAAGAACAATGTTACCCCGTTTTACTTAAAAACACTTTATACAAAGACTTGCGGATGTAAAAACACTAGAACTAGCAACCAGCGAAAATAACAACAAAAGCTACTTAAAAACTGGCCTCACTGCAAATCATGCAAACTTCACATGAACGCTTGATAATGTTTGTTTTGATATCGTAGAAAAAAATGTTCGCTTCAACGTCATCAGGCAACCGTTTTTTTTTTAATCGAAAAAATCATCCAACGCGTTGTGAATCAGTGGAAATGAACTGTTTTTATAAATATTGTGGAAATAACTCCCGAAGTGGAATGCGTTTCGTGGCGTTTTTTCGTTTTCCTCGCAGCGAATCAGAGCGCAAAAAGTGGCTATCGTTTTGTGAGCTTCCGGAGGATTTAAAAATTTTGGGAAGCCAGCGTTTGTGCAGTGTTAGTTCAAGGATTATACAAGCAACGCTTTAAATTACGTCAACGTTGAAACGTATAACTTGTTTTTGGAGCTGGAAGATATATTTAAACGTAATATTTCAGTATTCCGATTGCTGAATGAGAATCTAGAGTTGAAATATTATAACCTGATGATGAAAGTAGTATCAGCACCACACTTGCCAGAATGTCACAAGATGAAAGAAAAAATCATCAGACGATATATTCAATTCCGCTTACGAGTAAGCCGGCAAATTTTTCCTCGAGACAAACGACATGACAGCAAATCTATGGCCATATGAATGACAATATTTAAAATATACACAATTGATTGAAGTTTCACTAGATTTTAACGCTTAATGAAAGAAAGATTGAATTAAAATCGGCATGGAACAACAAAAACATGTTTGCAGCATTTTTCTTTATTTTCCATTTTAAGTTACCTATTCGAAAATGTTAAATCTGGATAACAATGCTTCCCCCTTACCGAACCATCGAATCTTACATGTTCGTTTGGCTGCACTTTTTGACAGCTCATTTGGCTGCATAAAACAAATCTTCGCAAGTCTTTGTATAAAGTGTTTTTAGTTTTACTGTACTCATTATTATCACAAAATTAGTTCGATTGATTTATTAACAATTGAATTTTCTAGATTATGCGCCTTTCGAGATTACCCCACTGTGCACCGTATGCTCCATAATTTGTGCGATACAGAAGCAGACTTAGCATGAGGTTGTTACGAAGAGGTTTGGGTCTAACATTTACCTTGCTTTGCTTTGACACGTGAATTACGATTCACCTGGTAACAAAAAGTGTAATTTGGTGCATTCTGTGTCACATCAAGCATTTCAGGCCGTAGATGCTTGTTCACTTTAACGGCATCATGTAATTGTGTTGCTCAAGTCTTTTAACTTCATAACAAATTTAGTTAATTAAAAAATCTACACATGTTCGTCACTGACAGCATTGTCATTGACAATTGACATGGCTTGCCTTGACGATGACTGTTAGCACAAATGATAGACCAAAGCAGAATTGTCAATATCACCGTGTATTGTCGAGATTTTGCAGCACTGGTTACCTCTTTGGTAATAGTGTTTATCTTCATTAAGAGCAAGAAAAGAAATTCAGTTGAAGCATCTACAAATACTGCACAGTTCTGTGATGAATTTTTCATGAAATTTTGTCGCACGAATTGTTTCTATAAAAATTAAATATTAGCCACCTTTCAGGGGTTCCTTGAACCGGTTCCAAGATCAAGTTGCCAATTCTTCATGAAATTCTGCGAATTTTGAGGTGCCAGACGGCTTGGTTCTATGAAAGTGATAAGTTGGCCACATCTACGGTGCCTCACGGAACATCGTAGGAAGGATACATCCGTTTCTGGCACTACGGTCAAATAAATTCCATTTAAATATTCGATTGATCTATGATCGCAATGTAATAGTAAGATTTGTAATTTAATACATTAGATATCACACTCTTTGCAAGAATTTTGCTCAACCGTTATAAAATATAAATGCCCGATCGATTGGAAGTTGTTTCTAAATTGGTCAATAAACGACGAAATGGGAGCAATATCTAATTTTTAGGCGAAAAAGCTTAGCTACGCGTGGAATCAATGTGACGAGATCTTGTTCAAATGATTAGTATTAAATTATTGATACTTATTTTTTTTAAAGATATATGTCAAACTTTACTTACTGACAAAAATATCATCATAGTAAGTGGGTGGATAATCCGGATTAGTTAGAACTGATACCTCAGTTGTTCAACTTAGGAAAATAATATTATTATAAGTATTCCCTGCTATTATTGCTAAACCTCAATGCGGACAAGGGATTCCTCATTAATGTTACTTTTTAATACTTATAGACCATAACATCTTACTAGGATTAATGAGGATAATGGAGAAATAAACATATTATGGGTTGGAAACTGAGTTTCAATTTATGAAGAGAATTCAAGTGGTTCACCTGTTGGTACTGTTTGTGCAAATGTTACAACATTTGTTTCAGTCTTATGCGGCTTTGTTGTTGATTTAGCTATGGTGATAAGCCTTGGTAGCGTTATATTTGGCGGTTCCTTCAACCTTCCTGCAATAAAACAAATTTTTATCGTTTAGTTATAAATCAAATAAAATCAAGCAGCACAAGAATTTCTGTAAAATGCGCAATAATCGAATTGCAATCTACTGTAATAAACATTGTATCCCATTGCACATGATGCAACGTAATGAACTACTCATTACATGTTAATCGGTTGTATCATCAAATGGGGCGAAATTAAGTGGCTTGATTTTGCACAATGAGATGACAAAATATGATCTTTATTTAGGTAAAATAATTAATTTTTGTCATGATAATATCACTCATATTTCCTCATAATTAATTTTATAATTAACAGATTACACCACTGAACATGCATGTTTTTATTGAGAGAAGATATAAAAAACTTCATATGACCAAATATGACTGGTCATTTGTGTGTTTTTTGCGTCGTCTCCTAATCGTATGAAATTTACAAAATCATACTCACCATCAAAATACTCCGGTTTATCATCAGTGAAGTGATGATGTCGCATAGGAAGATACGCTGCATCATCGAATGAGTGCAACTGTGGTATGAGACTCAACCACATTGATAACTTATGTCCACGGTAATGGCTTCGCGACACTGTACTGCACCCTAAAATATTCAAAGTTAAAGTCCAAGTATTTAGCTATTAAAATTAGCCTTACCAGACTTACCTATCTCCAGGTAAATCTGGTTGATGGAATCATACATTTCCCAGTTTTCCAGTTTTAGTATCGCTTTTTTCTCCACATCATCGAATCGATCGTTACCATCGCTGCTATCATTACTATCGTTATCATTGAATTGTTCTCGTCCCACAATTCCAGAACTATCTCGCATAGCTTCATTGTCATCGGGTTCATCAGCCATTGAATTTATAGTGTCATCCCAACTATCGTTGTCGTTATTGTTCTGATATATATCAGCACTTTCAACATTGAATTCACTATTGTTCAAACTGCTTCGGTAGAGACTCTTTAAGAGCCTGTTATTTAGGAAAAGTGATATTTGATCTTTACGTAGAGAAAATTTGTAGTTCGATCGTTTGTAGCGATGGTTGTTTTTGCTATTGTGAAAATTTCGTGCACTGCCATGACTTATATCGGATTTATCCATGGCATTTGAAGATTTCAGTCCATTTGGCATGCTATATTCAAATTGTAGAAACGTGTATTGACTGTTATATCTTTTTTGTTTGGTACGTGTCATTTGTTACATTTTCTACTCAAATTGCATACAAAAATTTGCCACAGTTATCTAAATTCACAGATTTAATACTTGTCAACAAAACACCAACAATTTAGACTCCTCGAAAATGGTCCAATAAGGAGCGAAACATCAACATTTTCTTAGTTCCGTGCACATTACTGGGGGTTTATACAAAATGGGAAAGATTGTTGAGTAAAAATTAGTGTGCTTCATTTCGGAAAAAAAAAATGTTTGCAAACATGGCAATCAATAATTCGTAATCCATTGGCGTAATAAGGGGGGCCGGGGAGGCACCTATCCCTCTAGACCCAGGGATGGTGCTCCAGAGTTAGGAAATAAATTTACATTTCACTTTGCAGCGAATTTTAATTTCTTAATATGTTACCTATTCACGGCTGCTAATTGGCCTACATCTTTTATTTATTTCTCTGCTATACACAAATGTCATACAAAAAGGTTGATTTTTTTTTAGCAGCGATACCAGATAAGAATACATGTTTTTATTTTGAAGAAAGTTTTAATTTCTATGAAGACATTTTGAAGATTCGTTATGAGAGGTTTGGACTGTTTGAAGATATGCGGAAATCGAAGAAGATTTCCGAAGTATTTTTGAATTTTAAGCAAACATGTGAAGATTTTTACTATTGAAATCTAAATTTTATATATAAGGGACGACATTTGAATCTTTAAACAGTTTATGTTTTTTTTACAAGAAGAACTGATCAACCTGAAGTCTTTAAAAATATCCAAAATAATTAATTAATATCCTCGAATAACTGGAGATACTTCTTGATCAACTATCTGTCTTGGGAGTATATCAGCGTACGAAATTTTCACTATTGAAAAGTTAAGAATTTCAGAATGAACTTTATCAATCTGAAGTCTTTAAAAAGGAACCAGAGGACTATACTGAAATTTATTATCAGGTGCGGATCTTTCAAAACATTCCCAAACATCAGCAATCTATCGAGAATTTTCGGAAAAGTACTTGATCAACATGTAATCTCTAAATTAAATCTAGACAACTTTATAGAAATGTTCTATTTGCTGGAGATCTTTCAAACATTTCTTGACCATGAAGAGAAGAAAACAGTTTGTAATATTCAGATTAATACTTGAGCAAGGCTATCATTTATCAATACTGTGAAAAATATCTAGTGAAACTAATTGAACATCAACAACATGTTCTAAAACTTTCATTAAGGTTCCTGTACTTTCGGAAAGTTTTTTGAACTTAAACTTAGTTCCATGAACTCAAACAAAGTTCCATAAACATGTTCCTTAATCTACAGGTATTCTGTGAAAAGTTACAGCAAAACTATGAAAAACCTCCGATCTGTTTGCCGAACGTTCTGCTGTCGAGATTTCGGTAAAATTTACCAGAAATCTGTGAAATATTCTCAATGTATACACAAACCGAATTTCTATCAAGATTACTGAACATGTACAAATTAGTGTGATAATTTATTAGCTAGATAATGGTCTTAGAAGAGGGTAGGTAGATAGTTCCGTTAGAGTACGGCAGTATGAAAACAGAATAGAAGTTGAAAATGAGCGAAGCTTCACTAAAGTTTCATGTTAGATAGCATTTCCAACCAATCCTGAAAATCGCAAACTTCGCGTATGAAGTAACATAAAAATACTTTGAATGTAACAACTCAAGGCGGGAGTAGCCGTCAACAATGCTGATGATGGTACAGCACGCAACAACCACCCTACTGCTTTCTCTCTGAGATGACTAAGTTGGTCATGACGAGAGGAGCAACACAATAGTTGGGTAAAGAAGAATTGCATTAGAATCAGGGAATCAAAATGAACGAATCAGATAAAGATAATGGCAGTCTCATTTTGGTTACACTCATGATTAGTACAAATCCAGAAATCACAATGGACAGTTCTGGAAACGATAATGCGATTATCATTTGTGTATCAGATCATGATCATATGAAATAGCGATAATCTCAGATCATCATCATCAGCTCTCGTCACTGAAAATTCCCCATTTAAGACAAGGCTAATCAAATACCCTATAATATGTGAATTTTCGGAATGAGGATGACGTATAGAGATCGAAAATCGATGTTTGCCGCCATTATGAAATTCAAGATGGTGGCCATCGATTTAAGAAAAACTGTCGAATATTGATGAACGTCGCTAGAACTATTCCACAGCAGCAGACAGTATATAAGCAAATCAGGCGCACACTGTTTTGCCTCATTCTTTGCTAGACTGTCGAGCTGTTCAGTCCGTATTTTCGCTCGAGTTCTCGATTCGATTTTGTTTCGTTTTGTGCTGTCGCGTTGCGCCGTGGAAGTGTTGCCACCTTCTCGCGTTCTGGCAATTTTAATTGAACTTGCAAACATGAAACAAATGGTGCGTAAACGTGCCAATAAGCCAGCAGCGGGCCCTTCAAAGAAGGTGCTAATCAAGCCCAGCGCGTTGCAGGATGACGCCGGAAAACGAGTACTGCAAGCCAACCAGTATACAGTACTCCCTGAAGAAAATGGCGATGGTGACGCCGTTCCCATTGCAAGACGAGAGCGGATTCCCCCGCTTTTCACGCCGGTGAAGGATGGTGCCAAGCTGGGTGCCGAACTGGCAAAACATAAGCTGCTGCCTCGCTTCAAGCTTTGCAGCATCGGGACCAAAATCATGTGCTCTAGCCTGGAGGAGTACAAACAAATAGGAAGTTTCCTGAAGAACAACAACGTGGACTTCTTCACGCTTGATCTGCCATCGAGCAAGCCACTGAAGGTGGTTTTGCGTGGATTACCGTCGTTCGAGGCTGCTGCGGTGAAGTCCGAGCTGGAGTGGCTTGGGCTCCAACCTGAGGCCGTGTTCCAGATGAACCGGCGTCCCAACCAAAACACCAGCTTCCGTGATCAGTTGTTCCTAGTGCATTTCACGAAGGGATCCACCAGTCTTACGGCTCTGAGATCCAAAATCCGGGACCTGTTTCAGGTCATCATCAGTTGGGAGCATTACAAACCCCAACATCGTGATGTAACGCAGTGTATGAACTGCCTCTCATATGGCCATGGCACCAAAAACTGCTACATGAAGACAAACTGCGGCAAGTGTACTGGAACTCACTCAATTGCGTCCTGTGAGCAAGTCGATGACATCGAGCCAACGTGTGTCAACCACCAAGCCTCCAATCGCGGATGTCCCAAGCAAGTGGAGTTCATTAATATCCATCGAAAGGCCACAATCAACAACCAGCTCGGTCGCCTTCGTAATCATCGTTCGCCTCCTGAAGTAACGGAATTCCAGTACCCAGCTCTCCAGCCCCGTCAACATGTTCCGAACCTAGCCCCGCTTTCGCTCAACAACCTACAAGCCAATCCTGCGAGTATCCAAATGGTTCCCAACAGTCGGACAGTTCAGCAGCTTTTGCTGCTGCCCAGCCAATTCCAGGTTCATCCACCGCCCCTGGTTTATCATACGCTGGTGCTGTCTCAGGTCAATGTGTCGACGATTCTCCGTTCACCTCGGAGGAACTTGTGACGCTCGTGGCCGAGGTCATCATCATCATGCGTACCTGCAAGACTCGATCTGAACAGCTTCATGCTGCCTTGTCACTCGTCACAAAGTATAGACCGTGAAGCTATAAAAATTGCAAATTGGAACGCTTGCTCACTGACGAACAAGCATAGAGAGCTACTCGATTTCCTCAACACCAAGGAGGTCGACATTGCTATCATCACCGAGCCGAAAGTCGGGAAGGAATATGTTCAGTTCGGGCTTCAAACTGAACATATTCCTTCCCGACTTTCGGCTCGTCAGACTTGATTGCACCTGCTCTGGAGGTGGAGGAGTGGCCATCGCTGCAAGACGGAACATCAGTTGCCGGCTGCTACCAAACTTCCAGCTGAAAACAATTGAAGCACATCACTTGGCCCAATCACCATCATCGCGGCCTACTGCCCCAAGGAAACCAACATCAGAGACGGGTCGTCAGTGGCCCTCCGGAAAGACATCATCAAACTCACCCGGAGGAGCGGGAACTTTATCGTCGCTGGGGATCTGAACGCAAAACACCAAGCTTGGGGCAACGGTCGGAGCAATAGAAACGGCATCATCCTCAATGAAGACCTGCAAGAGGGCCACTATACCATCTTCGCCCCGGACTCTCCCACCCGGTTGAGTCGGTCTGGGGTCCATGCGACCATCGACATCTTCGTAAGCAACATGGGACACAACATCTCGCAACCTGTGGCATTACAGGAGCTGAGCTCGGACCACTACCCGGTGGTGGCTGAAGTTGGATCCTCGGTAAACCGATTCGAAGCTTCCCGGCGCAACTACCATCGAGTCAACTGGGCGCAATATCAACACTGTGTCGACACAACCTCGACTACGATGTTCAACCGGGGACGTCCGAAGATGTTGACCGGTGTCTACAAACCATCGAGGAGGCGATGTCCCGGGCCAAGGAACAACACGTGCCAGTATCCAGACAGGTGAGTAACACTCTGAAACTTGACAGCCCTACCAAAGATCTCATTAGACTCCGTAACACCATTCGTAGGCAGTACCAGCGTACTGCCCTGCCTAACTTGAAGACTAATTGTAATCGATTAACAAAGATCATTCAGGCCAGGATGGAGGATCACAGAAATAACGATTTTTCTATTAAGATCCGCTCTCTCCCAGATTGTGCTAAGCCCTTCTGGAAACTTACAAAAATTCTTAAAAACAAGCCTAGGCCCATTCCACCACTGACCATTCATTCCCGGCGACCCAGTGGTTCATCTGATAACTCCTGAGGAGAAGGCTGCCGCGATAGGTCAACACTTCGTTAGCTCCCATAATCTCGGAGAAAACATCGTCAGCCCTCATGAATCTGAGGTTGCTGAAAATGCAACTAATGTTCTTCAGATTTCTAACATTTTTCCAGAGGAATCCGAGATTACGGCTGACGAACTGTTGGCCTATATAAAATTTTCTAAAAACATGAAGGGCCCAGGTTTCGACAACATCCTGAATCTGGATGCATCCTGAAACACTTGAGTTCCAGATTCTACAACCATCTGGCACTGATTTTTAATCACTGCCTCAGACTTGGCTACTTCCCCTCGTGTTGGAAGTTAGCTAAAGTCACACCCATCCGGAAACCTGGGAAAGATCCGTCCTCTCCTTCAAGTTATCGACCAATCAGCCTTCTCTTAGGGTTATCAAAACTGTTCGAAAGAGCAGTGTACCACCGGCTCCTATCATCTGCCGATGAAAACAACTTCCCTAATAAAAATTACCATACAAGAGAGCTTAACGACTTGTTCGGGTTATCATTCAAACCATTTGTGTAATAGTTTACCCATCCGGGATACAGTTCGTTTATGGTATTTGTTTATTAGGGTTGTTACTCGAGGAACAGTTTGGTTTTCGGAAAAGTCGTTCGACCGTCCACCAGCTGACTCGAGTAACAAACATTCTCAGACGGAACAAGTCTGTTTCGAAAACATCTGCCATGGCCTTGTTGGACGTTGAAAAAGCGTTCGACAATGTCTGGCATGATGGCCTGGTGTTCAAATTGCAGCAGTACGGTCTTCCAATCTTCCTAGTGAAGATAATAAACAACTATCTATCAGACAGGACGTTCCGAGTCTCTCTGAATGGCATCACATCGGATGCTTTCAACATCGGTGCCGGGGTTCCACAAGGAAGCATCCTTGGCCCCATCCTATTCAACCTGTTCACCTCCGATATGCCGGCTCTCCCTGATGGTGGATCGTTGTCTCTGTTCGCAGATGACACATCCATCGTCTACAAGGGTAGGGTCACCGGAGCTCTGACTTCCAAACTTCAGAGAGGCCTAGACGTCCTGTCTGAATACTTCACCAGCTGGAAGATCCCTATCAACGCGGCAAAGACCCAGGCCATTAACTTTCCACACTCTAAATCTCCCAGACTTGTTCCGTCGGAGAATAACAAGATCTGCCTGAACGGCACAGTGGTGGAATGGTCCAAAGAGGTGGTGTACCTCGGGCTAACACTAGAAGGCAAGCTTCTTTTCAAGGAGCACGTTGTCAAAACGAAAACCAAGTGCAACATCTTGATAAGATCGTTGTATCTACTTATCAACAGGAAGTCAACCCTGTTCCTGAAAAATAAGCTTGCTGTCTACAAACAAATCATCCTTCCTGTAATCGAGTACGATATGCCAATCTGGGAGAGTTACGCAAAATGCCATCACCTTAAACTCCAAAGGATCCAAAACAAGATCCTTAGGATGGTCCTAAACAGTCCTCCGCGGACTAGAAATTCTGAGATCCACATCCTGGCTGGAATTCAGACATTAGAAGAACGGAGAGTATTCATCCTGGAAAGGTTCAGAGACACCTGTCTGAGATCAAATCATCAGATCATACGTGATCTAGCACGTTAGGTTAAGTTATACTCGTAGTTAGGTAGGTTAATACTTTTTTCAATTCAAATAAAACAAATCCCCAAAGGGGTATTCTGTAAACTAGTTGAAAAACGCAAATATTAAATTAGAATATCAAATTAAATAAAGATGAAGAGCCAGATAGGCTAATCTATTAATATGATATATCAATGTACTACCATAATCAACAGAATTAAACATAATTTTACTACTACACTGTTTTGCCTGTAGATTTGAAGACCTACTTCAAATCGCCTCGTACATAGTACACAGATAAAAAATCTGAATTTTAATTATCATGTAAAAATTCATGCGCCTAAACTTGTATTTTATTTCACGCAAACGAGCAACTGGTTAGCAATATTGTTTGAAAAGCTTGGCTTTTGCATACAATATTTGCTACATTGCATGAAATGTCTCAGAACTATACACGATTTATAATGTAAACTTGTATGATATGTGATGCTCCTTTTATGTGCATCAGAAATTTACACTTCTTTTTCGAACTGTGAACGAGTTAGGTAAAGAAGTGTGTGTTTGACATGTACTGTCGCATTAATAGTCATTCACTCATTTCATCTTCTATTCAATGTTCATACTGCCGTACTCTAACGGAACTATCTACCTATACACCAAAAAAATCTGGCGATGTAAACATCCATGCATGCAAACATTCATACATGTAAACTTCCTTTACACGTAAACTAGCAGCTTGCAAGAAATATTGCAAACAAAAGTGGACAGTTGCATTCAATATATGGAATATTGCATGACATGTCTCAAAAATTTACAGATTTATAATCTAAACTTGTTTGATTTATGACGCTAATAAATTATCACACTAAATCTGCATGTTAGATAGCATTTCCAACCAACTCTGACTTTGTTTTATATATTTGAAATAGTCTACACCTTTCCCCACCCGAAAATTTTAAAAGTAGTGTGAAAACATTTACTACCGATTGTTTATGACTTTTCAGCTAAGGCCATAACTCTCTCCAGCCCATGATCCTTTTTACGCCTATATCGTAACCCCTAACAGAATAATAGTTTATAGTTTTATAAGGAAATTAATAAAATTCGCTTTGGCTTGACTTATTAAAATGCTGTAAAAAATCACTCTCCAGTGGCTGCGTTGATTGGATCATTTTTTAAAAGTGATGCATCCTACCTTAGCAGCACACTCATCGCAAATCAGTTGTAGCAACTCCTATGCGATTTATTTCGGTCACAATAAAGTGGTTGCAACTTTTCTAGATGGAAGTGTGCTGCTTGGGTAGTGAAGATGCATTCACTTAACAACACCTAGAGATGAACTAGTCTATGGCTAAAAATCTCTTAAATAAAGATCAAAAAACAAAAAATTAACAACACCTACCCTGTCTTGGCGAAGTTTGTCAGATACTGAACTAATATTCGACTTATCTGTTTCTCGTCGTGTGAATAGTTAGACGGAAATAATGGTGATAGTGGAAGTCCAAAAGTGAAAGGCACGTCTTCACCACGAACGGAACCTCCACGCTGCAAAGGAAGCAAATAAGGACGATTAATTTATGTATTTAATTTAGACGTAGAACATACCTGAGGAAAGTCACGTTCGTCGGATTGATGTCTAAAATGTAAAAAATATGATTTCCCTTCCTGAAGACTATGTAAATAACCCAACCGCACTAGTGGTGCAGCTGTATGACCGTCACTCAATAGTTCGAGAATTGTGTCACGATGTCCTAGTGGATTTCTAGGCGGATGCTCCCAATCGGTGTACTCATTCTACAAAAGTAAGACATTAGATGTGGATCCAAATAGTCGAGAATTAATTTACCCTTAATGATGAATAAATTTCTTTCAAATGAAAGTGAAACACATTTCGTACGTATGTTCGTAGAATGCGGTCTCTTCGTGTTTCATTAAAGCCAAACTCCAAATCTTGAGCACTAAGGTCGTTGTATGATTCATAAGACGTCAATCCAAACAATAACTCGCTTGCCGGAAAATTTGCAAATTCGATTCCAGTTGTGCTGTGGATGAGAAAGAAGTTATCTTCATGAAGTTGTCTTCTTGTTACATTATGTAATTGGCTTCAATTAATATTTTGATTAAATTCCTGCTACAAAGCCGAGGTTACATGCGCAAACTTTTATTATTCAATAATTACACATAACCGTCATTCCACGTCATTCTCATTCATCTTCACGATGGATGTTTAACGTATACTTTGGTACGATAAGACCACTGAAATGCGCATAGTTTTTGTAGAATTGACCTACCATGTAGTCACAATCGGATCATCCGATTTTTCCGTCGATCTTGTTTTCCGTGCTGAGCACCAATGCTACCGACGCCAGGAAAGCAGCTCCCACACCTGGACCCTACCTATCGACCCATCAACTCATGAACCGGGGACCAACGGCTTTACTTTCCTTCTGAAGGAAGGCGTGATCAGAGATGTTATGCCTCAGAACATCCAGGCGGCGCCGACTGGGATTGAACCCAGGCCTGCTGGAGTGAGAGGTAATCACGCTTACCACTACACCACCGGCGCCGCTGTGGGATTACTTATTAAACTAGATAATCAAAAATTGTGAGCCAACCTTTATCCGATTTAAATAAAAATAAATTTTCATTTTTACATATTTCTGAAACCAATAAAGATACAAACGACAATGGGTAATCTTTTTGCTGCATTTCAATCGTACAATAGTTTTTCTACAGTATTGCCAACTCTGCGATTTTGACGTAGAAATACGTCTTTGTCGACTATCCTGGGGTGCAAATCAAAAAATATGTGTGGTGAAATAGTGTTAGGTTTTGAACGCTTGTAACTTTGTCATTTATAGATGAAAATGAAATCCAAATACGCCAATCGATAATATATTACATTACAAATCTGCTGAATTTTTTTTTTTTAATTTTCCACAAAAACATTTGAAAAATGTACAAATGATAATTTTATCTCTGTTTTCATGGAATAAACTATTTTCCCTAACACAGTTGTCATAATCGAGTACCATTTGGTTGTACATCGTTCTGCTTGAAAAGATATAAACCAGCGCTGCTGTCATGCCTCTGCTAATTACAGCTTCGGACGGCGTGGCACTTAGTCCTGTAACAAGTAGGACCAAGTCAGTGGGTGGACGTGATCACGCAGCCGAGAAATAGCGGTGGGTGGACGGTACACACTAAGATTATTTCAGATTTCTGTGAAATTTTACCGAAATCTCAACAACAGTTTTCCTGTAAATTTTCACTGAATATCTGTGAAAAAATTACAAAAAATACTGTTAAAAAATCACCGAATTGTTTTCCGAACTTTCAGCTGTTGAGATTTCGGTAAATCCGTGAAATAATCTTAGTGTGTACCATGGAGGGATAACTGTAAGCTCGGATAATGTCGGAAAACGATATGTTTTTCCTTTAAGCATATGGTTCCGGCAGTGTGCTTATATTTGTGGAACCCATTGGAAATCAATCAATGGGTTTCACTATTATAGAGGGCCGTTGAATCTAACTATATATATATATATATATATATATATATATATAGTCATGGCACCACCGGATTCCACGAGTAGGAGGTAGAAGCTAGGTCATCATATTTGAATGTAGGAAAAACTTTGTGTAATTCAAGTGAAAACTAGATAAAATTCATTCTGTTCTCGACAGTCGAAGTTTCTTGCCTAGTGCATTGGAAATCCATTAATCCCAAATTCAAGTTTAAGTTAGTTTTTTACCCCTTCCGGGCAAGTAATTTTATAGTTGGCGCAGTCGGTAAGATTGTGCAAAGAACCCGCGAGTGTTCCGTGAAGATTAATCGACGGTTTATCGACAAGTCAATGCCTTGACGAGAGGACATCGCCAAGTTGAGGAAATCTGTACCAGCACCGGAAGACGCGCAATCCAGAGAACCAGATCTAAGGAACATCGGTCAAAGTAAATCGTAAGTACCCATTTCTTATCCTTCAAAACCAATTCAGAAATAGAAACCCGGAAATTTGGAAACAACACACACAACTTTGAACACACGCAAAGTGATGTATTGCAATACCCTTACTTCAATGAACCATTCGTCCTCACTACTGATGCGAGCAATTTTGCTCTCGAAGCAGATTTATCGCAAGGCTGTATAGGAAAGGATAGACCAGTCGTGTTTGCATCTTGAACGTTAACAAAGACTGAATAAAACTACTCCGCTATTGAAAAGGAACTCCTTGCCATAGTATGGGTCGTAAAGTACTTTCGACCATATCTCTTCGGTCAAAAGTTTACACTTTACACGGACCACCAACCTCTTACATACGCGCTCAATCTCAAAACCCCCAATTAAAAACTGGTGAAATAGAGATTGCAGTTAGTCGAATTTGATTTTGAAATAAAACACCGGCCCGGAAAATAAAACGTCGTGGCCGACGGACTTTCTAGAATACCAGCTGAAATTAATATGAACGAAGAAAGTTCCGACACAAGTTAAATCCATTCAGCGGACACTGACGTTTCAGAGTTCATTGAATGCACCGAACATCCTCTAAATATAATCCATAGCAAATCATCTTGAAAATCGGCAAAAAGGATTCTGAGGAATACGATGAAATCTGCCCTAAAATGTATCGAAGAAAAATCACAAAGATTAATTTTGGCGTTCCAATCCGCATTTTCCGAGATTCCATGCACCCTGGCAAAATTAATTGCATTTTATGCCCGGAAAACGTAATACAGTCGCTACAAACAGTATACACAAATTACTTCAGTCACTGCAAAACATTTAAAATTAAGGATACCCAGAATTTATTAATTGATTTGAGAACGGCCGAAGGACAAAATACAATTATTTCAGATACACATGAAACCGGTCATAGAGGCATACTGAAAAACAAAAACGCTATAACAGAAGGTTAGAAAATACATCCTTTTTTGCAAAACTTGTAACTAACAAAGTATTAAAGGCATCCGTACAAAATTCAGCTTTCAGAAACTCCAATCCCTAAACTACCTCTTGATTTCATACAGGTTGACGTTTATATAGTTCAACCAAATCTTTTCCTCGCAATATGTAGTCGATAAACTAACGAGATTTGGAACCCTCCTTCCCATAAAATCCCGCTGTATCTCAGATATAAGCAAAGCCTTGTTGAAGTACCATACATTGTACGGAGCACCTAAATTGATGGTGTCAGACAATAGAAATACGAGGACTCCTTTTTGACCTCAACGTACAACAATACTTTACGCCGTCTTATTACAGTCAAGAAAATGGAATCGTAGAACGCTTCCACTCCACCATTTTCGAGATTTACAGAACTAACAAATACAAATAATATCCATTCTTCCACGAAACTCAAACCCCGTGAAATATTTTATGCAGCAAAAGAAGACACAGATGGACCCGTGAATATGAATGCCCTTATAGAATATAGAGATAAACTTTACGATGAGAACACTTTCCAACTCTCAGAAACTCAGAAGCAACAACGTGACTACCATAATATTGGCCGAGAGCAACCTCCAACATTAAAAACCGGTGAAAACGTTTTGAATCACGTACAAGGCATTTAATCAAAAACTAAAGGCCAATTCGAGCCTGTTCAAGTAATGGCCAATCGAAACCAAACATATGTATGTATGTATGTAAGGTAGCCACCATCCTTTCAAGACTTGTCTTGTATGCAGCTCCACTTAATAGCAAGATCAATTTGAGCTACCGATCTGAATTCACAATATCGCTGTATGAAGGGCCAAAAACGGAAGGGCGGACCCGTAAGCAAAGACACTTACGTGAAATCCACGGGAATTTAAGAATCTCCTTCCAACGATACGCTCCAACAAATCGAATAACACAATTCGCAATACTTATTAAGCTTCTTGTTAAGAAGGGCGCGTCAATCACCCTGAAACTGTTGGAGTAAAACTCACACCACCACAATCGAATCGGTAGGCTAAAGAAAATGATAGTGTTTATTCCCTCCTAGACTCCGGCTGTCAATCATACCATCGTCCAGTTCCAGTTTGAATGATACCCTGATGCTCCCTCCCAACCCAGTATTTATTTATATAATGAAAATATATGCAATGGAGAAATGAAATATATCAGAACATTAAAATATGACATAATGAAAATACATTTATATGGATAATATAGTTGTACTGCAATGAAGAAGTATTTTACATATAATAAGATGCAGCTCTATACCTCCTCAGCTCATAACGGCAGATGGATGTAACACTGAAATGTATAGGATATATTAAGCAAATAAATATATCTTGCTCGAATGATACTAACAATAATGCTAAAAATTGTGATGAATAACTAACATGACGAGAAATAACCTCCTTAATAGTTATATACATATAATATTATTTAATGTTGTTACTTCATCTGCGTCATCAGCTTCATATTAATTTTGATGACTTGCTTGGGTAAACTGAAATATTAAGCTAACAGTAATAGTATATCATGCAATGTATACTTTATATAATATATGTAGTGAAATACAAAATATAAAAAAACATAAACAAGTTTTGTTATTTATAAATCATTGGTCGTTGGTAGCATCTAGTCTAAAAAGGATACCTGTATAGTAATTATATTCATATAAAGTTAAGTATTGTTGTTGCTTCCTCTACTTCATCAGCTTAATTTTAATTTCGATGAGTAATACAATACAATAAAAATACAATAAAGTGAACAATAAAAAGGTGCCTTTATTCTCTCATCCTGTAAATGCATTGTTATAAGGGGGAGAGGTAGCTCATCGATTCTTCCGATTCGCCTCCTAGCATCGTGCTATAAGGTACCAGGCGATAACCAGGGTAGTTGATCGATAGCTCGATGACGTCATTTCGTTGGCGTCTGCAATGGGAAATTTTCATAGCAGGCGTTGACGATGGGACATTGTCGAGTTGTTGAATAGCAACTATCGTCGTAACTCACCGATTACCTGTCGATCTGCCAAATTTGGAAAGACGTCTGCATTGAATTGTCTCATATAATAATATTCCGCCCACTATATCACAAGAAATTGCG